CCACTTGTGACCACTTCACAGCCTAGTCCTTTGTGGGCTCATGGTCACAAGTACTCCTTTCTCCAGGAGCATCTCTAAACAGACTTTAAATATGCATGAGCTCCCAGAGGACCAGTCATTTACCTGTATGGATACATAACCCACTTCATAAAACGCATGCATAATTTTGTTGGCGAGGATATGGCTCCGAAGCTAAAAAGATCTGCTGAAATAATTTTTTAAACTAGAGTTAAAAAACCAAAGTATTCTGAGTTAATTCAGTATATCAATTTTGAAAGAGAGAGAGCATGAAGTCCTAGCTTCCTACTAGTCCGTTGCTAGAGAGGCAGGGAGAAAAGTGGCTTTAATGGCCACCTCCTGGTAGACACTGCCTCATTCTTCTTTCCTTAGCCCTTGTATGGAACCCTGTCCCAAAGAGGAGTGGACACCAGATTCCTAAACTATCAGAAAACTTCCCCAGGAACTTTTACTTAGATTCCAGAATCATAACAATGACTGCTCCTGGTTTCTGGTTTTGGATATGCGGTACAGACGCCTAGATGACCTTCTAAGTCTACTAGGTCAACTACTCCACCCAAATGACACCTAACTGGTCTCTGCTCTGTTTTCACTTCCTTTATCCTACTTTCCAAAGAATTAATCTCTTTTCTTTCATCCATTCTGACCCCGAGATTTCCCCATTTCTGTGTGTCTTTATGACTGAGCTGTTCTCTCTCTCTCTCATCTCACTTTAGAAACAGGGCTTGATTCCAAAGGATATTCAACTTCCTGTAGCCATTGTTCTCGAAAGTGTGGCATATTAAAAATACTTCATACACCATTTCCCAGTGAAAATAACACATCCTAGAGATGAGTTCACTCAACTTATCCACATAGTTTATTACTGGATAGGACAAATGTGAAAATAATCTTCTGAAGAGAAGTTAAATACTTTAAAAGATGCTGTTCACCCAGTAGTTAGAATCAAGACACCACAGAACACAAAAAATTTGACAAAAAAGTTGCTGACAGGGTGTTTAAATTACTGACTTCATTCACCATATTTGTCAAACATTTATTTCACCTGCCTAAACCATACTTCAGAAAAGGTTAGAATAAGTCAATTAGAAGTTACTCAACTAAAAGCTTGGGTTTTGTTGCAAAACTCCTACATTATCGATATGACTATTGTGTGGTTCCTTAGAAGGTTCTCTGAGTAAGGGGAACTGAGTGCCATATCCATGGCCACCTTTACTTTTTGGGTTCATCAGCCACTAGTAGCCTAAGTGCAGACTTCGGCCCAGGACCAGCAAGCCCAGTCTGGCTTATGTGGTGACTCTGGGATCATGTCTTCCTTTCTAGGTGAGAGCTGATCAACATCCACAAGGAAGACTGTCTATCTTACAACCAGAACAAAATATGACCTGCTCCAGGAATACTGGACTGGTGGTAGGGGTCTGGATTAATTTGAAAGTGCTAAACAAAGGTGAAGACAATAATACCAAGGAACAAAAGTACTATGACTTTGGGTCCTCTTGGGCTCACCAGAAAACTCTGAAAGATATAATTTTTTCCTACTAACAACTTATATGACCTTCCTGCCCAAGTACAGAAGTTGATGCCCAATGATCACTTTAACAGACCTCATTGAACGTACCAAAATGAAAAGAGGCCAGATCTAAATTTTATCCATGATTAGAGGGTGCCTATAGTTTGTTTTAGAAGTATGTGAATAATGGCTTAATTTTTCAAGTTTTTTAAAAAAAATACACTTAAGCATATATAACTTAGTAAGGGGACTTGTTTACTCTTTTTTCTTTTTTTGAAGAAGATTAGCCCTGAGCTAACTACTGCCAATCTTCCTCTTTTTGCTGAGGAAGATTGGCCCTGAGCTAACATCCATGCCCATCTTCCTCTACTTTACAGGTGGGACGCCTGCCACAGCATAGCTTGCCAAGCGGTGCCATGTCTGCACTTGGTATCGGAACCAGCGAACCCCGAGCCCCCGAGAAGCGGAGCATGTGAACTTAACCGCTGCGCCACCGGGCTGGCCCTGTTTACTCTTTTAAATAACTGGTTTTAAAGCTTTGGTAACAAATGGTGAATAAGCACTTTCCTTTAATGTCTTAGAAGATGAGACTGCATGGAGAGAACTGGCTAGTTAAAATACACCAGGATCTTAACTCTCTTTAAATTATGTTATCTGCTAGGTTTTTATAATTGCAATGACCTTAATACCTTTATGAAATACTTTACAATTACAATTATTTTCAAGAAGCAATATGAATATAATCTAGTGTTATTAGCTCAATAATAAAATTTTAATATAGGCTGAAGTATTTCAACTTAGGAAAAATATTATTTCTTTTACATTAAAAACATGCCGTAGGGCTCAGTTTTCAGTGAAGACTCTCATGGGTATTTTATTATTTGAGATGCAGCAACTATTTTTAATAGGAATTTTCTTCTGGATGGTTTAAATGTGCATAAGTACTTATACTGCAACTTAAAATAGTCTCATAAGAAAGAACACTAAAATATCAATTTAGAGTTCTAAAATGATATAACTGCTACTTTTTCAATAACACTATCTGCCTAGGGCTGCAAAATTTATACTTTTGTACATAAAGATACTTGATATTGCTCACCTCCTCCAAAAAAAACCCCCAACAACAAAATCTCTATCTATTTGGTAATGGAAGAGCTGGATCGGAAAGACTGGACATTTGTTAACGTAAGGAAAAAGCTATGACATATCAGCTGGGATAAAAAAAAAAAAATCAAAGAACAAAAGAAGGATAAACAATTTAAAAAGCAATTCCAGAAGTAAAATTTGAAATGGAGCTGTAAAGCCGGGTACAGAGAGAAGACAAGACAGGAAGGAATTAAACAACAATAGAAGGCACCAATTTTAGAATCCAGGAATCCAAGCAAGGGTCTAGGAGAAGATTTGTTTTCATAGAGTAAGATTCGTACTTTCCAAAATCTAGTCAAAACCTGAAAAGTTTAAACATCTATCTGTAGCTGCGTTTTAAATTAGAGACTTAAAAAAAAACCCAACACACCAATCTACAACTAAGAGTTATATACCATTAAAAGACAGGTACAGAAAGCAAAATGAGCAAATGGGAGGTTAACGTTGAGACTCCTCTCTCCCTGTGCTGGTGTAGCATTGTGCATGGTGCACAGAGACCAGCTTAACAAACTCCTGTGAAAGATCCCACGGCACAGCCCCCTTGTCCGGTCATGGGCAGAGGAGGAGCCCCCTGGAAAGCTTAGCTGCCAACATCATTCCTGTGCTGGAGGCAAAGATTTGCTTAAGAAATAGACTGCCTGGATTTTGTTGATCACCAGCCAAAACAGTTGCTCCATATAATCGACATCACAGCTGAACCATATCTAGGACTTGTATTAATTATAGCTAACACTTATGGAGTTCTCCGATTTCAAAAGCTTTAGATGTATTATTTCATTTCAGCCTCACTGCAGGACTGTAAAGGAAGCGCTCTTCATCCTTTCTCTCCTTTTACATATGAGGAAACTGGGCAATTCAGCAATTTTAGCCAGGATCCACCTCTAGGTCTGTCTCCCTTCAGAGTCCTGCCTCTTGACCACTGTGGAAGGTACTACGTAGAAAGTAAAAGCAAAATGTTTCTGCTAATTTAAAGTAAATGTTCTAAAACGCCACGGTGATGTATCAGACGGTAATGCACTCAAAGTAAAGTATTTCATGGCTTAAGGCGCACACACACACACAAACACACTTATAAATGGCTTGTACACGCATCAACCATATGAATTAATAAAAACTGCTGTGATGAAAAATTATGCATGCTATTTAAAGGGTCTTCAAGTGTTTATATAATTTTTTAATCTGATACATAAAGTTTATACCAGAAAGTACCTGAAAAGTGAAAAATGACCAAGTAGGATGACTTGTTCCTTTTTAGGATATTAGAATATGCTCCAAATCTATAACCACTAAGTTATTTTTCATTAAAAACTGATAATCAGAAATGCTAAGATGCAAATGAAAAACTACATTATATATAAAGAACTTTCTTTTTTTTAAGGAAGATTAGCCCTGAGTTAAACATCTGCTGCCAATCCTCCTCTTTTTTGCTGAGGAAGATTGGCCCTGAGCTAGCATCCATGCCCATCTCCCACTATTTATATGTGGGACAACTGCCACAGCATGGCTTGATAAGTAGTGCACAGGTCTGTGCCCGGGATCTGAACTGGTAAACCTTGGGCTGCTGAAGCAGAGTGCGTGAACTTAACTGCTATGCCTCTGGGCAGGCCCCAAGAACTTCTTCCTTTTGCACCAAAAAAACCACCATGACTAAAAAGTTGCTAGATGGTTTTCATTGTAGTGAGCTGGTTTCATCCCATGAGTTCACCGTGAGTCAGGAGTCAGGAATTGCAGACTGTCTCTGCCACCAATTTATGGGCTTCATTTACACAAATCCCTTCATTTTTTAGCACCTCAGTTTCCTCACCTATCAAACGGGACTAATATCTGTTCTGCCAGTTTCATTCAATTGAAATGAATATCTGGTGACAGTAATGATGCTATATCTCCATAAGCATTTACGACTGATAATTGGGTCCTGTGGTGGTAAGATGCTATTTAATCAGGGGAATTGGCGGGGAGGGGTGGGCAGTGGTACTGTTAACTTTTTCAAACTGCTGTCACACCTGATTCAGTCTTTGAGCCTCATAACCACCCTGGAAGTAAGAAGGACAAGTATTGTGAGATGGGAAACAGTCAGGTGGCTATATGTCCAGCTTCAAGTCATACAGCTAGTTAGGGACAGAGCCCAACTCCTAGTCCAGCACTTTTTGTTTATTGCTTTTTTTTCCTCTCCGGACTCAACAGTGTGGCCAGTGGTTAGGAAGGATGAAGAGTCTACCTTCTGAGGAAACCCAACAAAGTTGCAAACATCCTGAATTGACGAATTAGAGAAAACAATTCTCTCTGCTGACTTGAAGCTTGGAGTTTATGGACTCAAACCACATACCTTGATCTCCGGGAGCTGCATAACTTCAGGAAAGACCTCAATGCAGTTGGAGTGAGCGATCACGGTGTGCATGCGCCTGCAATTCATGATAGTTGTTGGGATGGCTTTCAGTTTATTCCCACTGATATCAATTTCTTCCAGTTCCTCCAGTTTTGCCATTTTACTAAAAAAGAGAAAATCCAAGAGAGAGGGGTTCATAAAATAATTACAAGGCAATTTAAAAAGAAAATAATATACAATGAGAATCAAAAGGGGAATTTACTATGACTCTAAAGATTCTTTAAAGATTCACTTGTAATATCCATTTTAACAAACATGACAATTTTTTCACTATTATTTTTGAGTATCAAAGTATTTTATTATTTAATTAAATTAATTAATTAATTATTTTTTAGGAAGATTAGCCCTGAGCTAACTACTGCCAGTCCTCCCCTTTTTGCTGAGGAAGCCTGGCCCTAAGCCTGGCCCTGAGTTAACATCCGTGCCCATCTTCGTCTACCTTATACCTGGGATGCCTACCACAGCATGGTGTGCCAAGCGGTGCCATGTCCACACCCAAAACCCCAACTAGTGAACCCCGGGCCGCCGAGAAGCGGAACATGCGAACCTAACCGCTGCACCACCGGGCCAGCCCCTGAGTATCGAAGTATTTTAACACCTCCTTCCCCAAAACCATTAACTTCAACTCTTCAAATTGGTAGCAAAAAGAAAAAGGGATATCCTTTTCCTCTTAAAATTCTGTGTGTGAATTTAGTTATCCTGGCAACAATCACTTTGCAGTGTAGCGTAGTCTGAACTCTAGTGAAAATCCTACTCCAATGGGTCACAAGTCAGCATTGATCCAGTATAAGCGCTGTAAAAGAGCATAGTTTAGAGCAGGATTTCTTTGTATTGGCACTGAAAACTAAAGGGACACAGAAGGGAGTAGGGCTAGAGCTCACACGACCATATACTTTCTTCTAAAACCCCACTCCCCAAATTCCTCTGACATCATTCGTGATGACAAGGTGGTGGTGAGGGGAAGGTATGCGGCAATGGCATCTGGATCCTCTCGCAACCTTCTGGCAATGCCCAAACCAAACCGTACCCAAAAGAAATTTATCTCAACTCCTGCTAAACATCTACACAGAAGGAATCTCTCTGACATCACCTTAATAACGTCCTAAAATTATTTAACGCTTTTAAGAATGTCTTTTATTATTCAATCTTAATCTACAATTAATCTTAATAATATTAACCAATAATTACAGTAACCAAATAAAGAAAAACTCCAGAATAAGGGTTTCTTGTATTCCCTCTATAAATTTAGAGGGAAAAATTCCTAGCTTCTACAATCCTATTATAGCATCTACCATTTCTCTGATCCTTTTTCTACCACTGGTGATGCTGGACTCAAGAAGCACAGGATTCCCAGTGAGTGTAACTGAAACTTATAATCTGAATTATTTAGTTTACATTTATTGATATCTTCTCTGCTTGCTGTGCTTTCGTTTGTAACAATAAACCTTTAAAAAATTAAGGAAGAAACTCTTTATTACTTTTTTCCTATCATCTCTCAAAAATAAAGGTTATCTTATTTGCTTATCTTGAAAATAAATATATGCCAAAGAGGCAACAAGAAAGAAGTTTTTATCTTATGAGATCGGATCTTTTAATATCATAAACATCCAACATGGTTTCAGGATATGCTATAAACAACATTATACACACAGATTGTGAAGTAATCCAGCTATGATAGCCTGAATTTATAAGACTATTATTTGAATATGTTGTCATCATATTTTGAAAAGAAATATGGAGAAATCAATGGGTAACAGGGCATGAAAAATGATTGAAAGTATTGAGATCAGGCCCAAGAAAGGAAAACTTAAGTTTCTGTCCCTCAACACAGAAAGAAGGTGGTTGAAGAAGGACTTGATTGCTGGAGCGTGTTCGTCATGCAACCGTTTCAGCAAGTGTGGGCTGAGAGTCTAGCCCAGGCCAGACCTCAGGTGAGACATGAGGCTGGTGGAGACACATCACAGCCCTGACTCTTAAGGAGCTCGGGGTCTTGTAGGGGAGCTCCTGTGCCACAGCACAATCTCCAGAGAGACGGAAATATAACAAGATAGATTGTTATGAGGAGCATGAAAAAAGTCTCTGTACTTAGGGTAATTATAACTGGCATGGATCACTAGGGGATAGCGTCAGAATTCAGACTGATGATCATTTCTCCTGCAGGGCTCAGTTATTCACCATCTCAAATAGGACAATGAGCCCTTTCAGAAATATTATTGTTATGTGATTACCATTTTTTCTTCCAAAAATACCATCACTTCATTCTATAGTAAAAGTATATTGAAGTAAAAAAAAAAAAAGTTTAATCATTAACATCAAATGAGAAGAAAAATTAAAAGATAAATATATACTATAAAACACAAAGTAGTATTTTAAGTCAATGCATATTTGGGCCCAAATTCCTCCTTTAGTAAAGGTTTTAACAGACTGGTAGCCTTGATGGCAGCAGAGGGAGGCTGTGCCAATATTCTGCTTTGGCCCAACGCTGAGTTGCAGTCAGCAGTAGAATACTAGAGAGGTTAGTGCTTGCTTCTCCGTGTGGGTGTGTGTTCCAAGTCCTTACTTGCTAGATGGATAAATGCCAGTGACCTGGAAGTGGAGTAAATGCGTCATGGCAGGCTCAGTGTGTAGATTCACCCAAAGCTAGACACAATGCTACTGCTCTCAAAAACTAGAAATTAAAATTAAAACAGAATTAAAAATGGAATCTTCAGAGAACCATAAATTATCTGTAATGTCACACAGTTTCTATGGTTGCAGAGGCCACCACTGCTTTTTATACCGTTAAGTCCAAATATAAAAGCCGGCAGCTAATTAAGAAACTTTAGGTTTCCAGTTTATGTTCTAATTCTCACGCCCTATATTAGGTTAATTTTTAAAAACTAATTTGGTTAAAAAGAAGCAAAAGAAAAAATATACCTACTAGATAATATACTTTATTTCAAAATCATAAGAATATTCCAGTGATTGAGTCTTTGGATACATTCATATTGGAAAAACTAACACATTTCTCTTTAGGGGAATGTTGATCATGACCTATATAAAAGACAACTGTGAACCAGAACCAGGGGAACAAGCTTTACATTATCTGGGGAATAAACATTTTAGCTTTCGCCTTGCCATCTATGAATTCATTTTCAGAAATGCAATGAACATCACTTTGCGATCTTCTTTTACCTTGCTGGAAAGCTTTGAAGTCGGTTATAGGCCATGTGAAGGATCTTCAGATGGGGGTGTCCTGTTAACAAGGGCACACATTTATCCGTGAGGTTGTTATTTGTCAAATACAACTCCTGTAAGATGCTGTTCGTCTCTTCAGAAAGTGTGGCTGGAGGAAGGGTTTCCAGTTTGTTCGCAGATGCATTCAGAAATCTCAGGCTACAATGACAAAAATGCAACAGAATCTCATTGATAAGCCAGAGCTCTAGTCAAGCATCCTGATCGAAATCTGGCATATAGGGAACTGGGATTAGAAACATGAATTTAAAGATAGGCCCTGGCTTTAGCAGGCATACGGATATGCAACCCCACTATCTATGACGAACACAATAACTATTCATGTGTGTTAAATACCAGTGATAGAAATTTTTATGGAAGCACAAAGGTGAGAGGAAGTGATTAATTTTATAGCTTCTAGGGAATGGAAGGGAGTGATAAGGTAAAGTTAACATTCTGTCTTAAGAGAAAAACAACTGCCTACTTTTAAATAAAAGAGCTCTTATAAAACAATTAGGCATTAGATCACAGTACAACTAAATCACATAGTGACTAAATCCTTTTCAGTATAATGTTCAAACCACATTTTACTGACACACATTCATTCATAATGCAAGAGATAATTTTCTCTGTATTCAAATAACAGAACAGTATATAGAGGTGAAAATGAAGAACAACTATATGCGTGAACAGGATGAATCTCACAAATACAATACCAAGAGAAAGAAGTCCAGATACCAGAGGACACACTGCGTGATTCCATTAATACAGAGTTGAAAATCAGGCAAAACTAATCTATGACATTAGAAATCAGAGAAGAGAAGCAGTGTCTAGGAGGGCTTCTGATTTTTCTAATATGATAATATCCTGGTTTTTTATTTGAGTGCTGTCTACACAAGTGTGTTCACTTTGAGAAAATTTATCAAGTACTATACTTATGATTTGGCCCCTTTTCTGTATTTATATTATAGTTCAATAAAATTTACATTAAAACAAACAAATAAGATGTATATGCTATCAGTTATCCAAACGATAGAGTGAATAATGGCTAAAACATGAACGTTCTTCACCTAAGGCAATTAAAATTGTCAAAACAGGGTAATCCTCCAACAGTTATTGTGAAACATAGATAAACGCAAAATGCAAAGCTGGAGAAGTGAAACAGAATCCTTGCTGTGATCAAGTTCCAAATCATTCCAAAGGAAAGGGAAGGACAGGGCACTGTGCATGGTTCACGCGGCAGACAGACGACCCCCTGCTTCACAATGGATCGCCACTGCGTGTGCTGCATTGTGAAGCTGCAGCAACCAGGACACAGAGAGTGTTCAGCCCGGAGGACTCACCTGCTATTGTTACCACGGCCAGAGCTGCCTTGCCTCCCCACCTGGACCTAGCCTGTTAATGAAACGCCTCTCTCGCATTTCAAACCACGTGAGTTTGAAACTTTCAGCATTCAATTCAGGACTATTCTGCCATATGTTAGGAAAAAAAGAATAAAATCTTCCTTAAAAAGGAAGAATATGGAATACCAAGTACAGTTATTGTTAATTTTGGATAAAAAGAAGGCTCTGAATTCAGGAGTCATCACCAGGACTGTCATTCCAAGCTTTCAACCCACTAATTTAATACTCCCCAACCTTGCAATCCCCCCACACTTACTTACACACACACACACACACACCCAACTCCACTACTTATCTAAGGAAAAGCAGCTTCCCCAAAATAGAACATTTTCCATTAAAGAAACACGTATTCCGCTGACATTTAAAAAAAAAAAGAAAAAGAAAAAGGAAGTTAGAAAAGGGCTGTACAGACCATAAATAGTCATGGGAAATTATAGTCGTGTGTGCTACAGAGAAGAAAATAAAGGTCATTCATGCAGTTTCTGAAATGGTTTTGAACTAGGAAGGAAACCAGTTTCAGTCCATAGTTCTTTAAAGTATTTTTACATGTCTGTTTCTTTAGGTCCCATTTATATCATCTGACTTAAATACCCTGGTAAGAATTTCTTCAGTGTAGAATCAGAAGAAATTAAAATGTATTGCCCTAAAATACCATGGACTGGGGCTGGGACACTATCTGACAATCTCATTAAAATACAATTCTCTAGGAAAGATATAGTTATAGACACATGAAAAGAGAGAGAAATTAATTCTTGAATATCTGCATATTTTTAGGCCAGTAAGAGAGAATGCTGTTTTGAAAGGAAAAAAGATGGACTAGTGAATGCTCATCTAGAAAGCCGCAAAAAGGACTTTAAAAACCCCCCACATCTGAATGAAGGGAAGAAAGTGATTTCCAAAAAGACTTGTCCTCTCATCTTGTTGAAATTTGCCTGCACTGGAGGAGCTATACACCCTTTATAGGAAGTTAAGGGGAAAAAATTCCCACATCCTACCCCTCCGGAAAATGAAACTAAGTTGAAACTACATGAGCTGGTTCCAAAAGATTTAATGTGAACTGAATAAAGCCTGACTGAATCATCTTGTTAGTTAATAGAGAGCAAACAATTGGGCTAAAAAGATTTTTGATTATGATGGTCTCAGGAAAATTAAATTCAATACCCATCCTCTTAAAAATAAAACATTTGTCCCACAATCTCACAACGTTTCAGCACGAGACAATTAAATTCGTTTAACGGTATGGGTGTTGCACTTCCACCAGGACAAGCAAATACTTTAATTTTGTGATATTTCTCTGGTATGGATAACAGTCTTACTCAATACGCAGGGTGTATAACCCCACCTTCTGCTTTCAAAACCTCCAAAAAAGCTAAATTTCTAAAGCACTGTTTGGTCTCAACTCAATATGATGTGATAACCTCCTTAAGCTTCTCCCTTGTAGATTTTTGTAATAACTTATAAAACTTATAAAAGACTGTTAAATGTGCCAAGAAATGTTTTGTCCATATAACCCTCTTCACTACGCAACCCTCTTCTACTAATTAGAGAAAAAGCAGTAACAGATTACCACTTTCTGTCCATTTGTCAGCTGCTTTGTAGAGACCACAGCTCTTCCCCAATTCCTATCTCATTTGATTCTCCCATCATCTCAGACAGCTCCCCCTTATATTTCACAGAAGACAGAAACTGAAGCTGAGAAAAGTCAAATTACTTGGCAATGGTTAAACAATTATCAGTGGCAGAGCCAGAAATAAAGCCTAGATCTTGTCAATCTTAAGAGTCCATTATTCCCTAACACATCTCTCCAAAATTCAGATGTTAAAAAATAGTAATCAGAAAACATTTTCCTAGGCCCTTCTCTCCAAAAAGCTGGAGGTCAAACAGGGCACCTGCTGGGCAGCGTGAGGACCACATATGCACAGAACTTCAAGCTCCATTCTTAAAATAACTTAATAAATAGCCTAATACTCAAAAACTTTTCTTAGTGGGAAGTGCAAAAGTCGTAGAGAAAAAGATACTCCCATATGACTCCTGCCCTAAAGCGTTTGGGAAGTGGCAACAACAGCAGCGAGACAAATCCACTTCCTGCTTCTTGAGCAACTGCTCTGTTCTTCTTTGGTACATTCTGTCCATCTGCTCTGGCACATCTAGGTTTCTGCTTAGCTTTACTTTGCTTGCTTTTTAGTAATTTCCAGCACACCCTTAAATTTTACAGCCAACTTCTGTTCTTGAAACAAAGCACAGGATTTGGTGCCACAACAGATTTCTCTGTTTGTAGGCACAGCAGGCATTCTGCATCTAAATAATTTTTCTGGAGATCACTACTGGGATTTGTATTCTATTAAAAATGCAAAAGGTTAAGAATAAGCCCAGCAAAACTCTTCTACTTTTAGACAACCCTCCTGGCCCCAAAATGTTCCAGAAGTGTCAAACAAAATGCTCTCAATTCCTTATCATTTGTCTGTATAACACAACACTTTTGACAATTTCATCTGTCTTCACAAGGCTGATAGCTCTTAAAGCAGGGCTTTCAAACTTTTTATGACAGTAACCAAGAGTAACCAAAATATATTTTACATGACCACCTGGTACAGATGCAACATGCACATGTATAATTGAAAACAAAAGTTTCATGAAACCGTCCTTAACCTTACTCTATCTTACACTGATATTTCCTACCCTATCTAATTTTTTAAGTGCTGGTAGAAACCCACTAAATTAATGTCATACCCCGACTAATCCATTCAAAAAAAGAACCACAATTATTGATTGTCTAGCAACACCACCTAACAGTGGGGATTCCAAGTGAAGAAAAAATGCACAGAACTCACACATTATTATTCTGGAAGGTCTGAAAATCTGCCTCGCTTAGGCAATAAAGATCATAAGCTTACAGAGTAAAGAAACAAAAGTTATACAGATGTAAGAATTGTTGAGGGCCGACCCAGGGGCGCAGTGGTTAAGTTTGCATGTTCCACTTTGGTGGCCCAGGTTTTCCTAGTTCGGATCCCGGGTGCGGACATGGCACTGCTTGGCAAGCCATGCTGTGGCAGGCATCCCACATATAAAGTAGAGGAAGATGGGCACAGATGTTAGCTCAGGGCCAGTCTTCCTCAGCAAAAAGAGCAGGATTGGCAGCAGATGTTAACTCAGGGCTAATCTTCCTCAAAAAAATAAAAGGAATTATTGAACAAGAACTTGAAAAGAATTAATTTTAAAAATTAATTAATTAACATTGAAGCAATACTATAAATTGACCTACAGACCTTATTCAAATTCCATCAGTTTCCCTACTGATGTCTCCTATCTGGTCCAGGATCCATTCCCGGATCCCACATTGCATTTCATTATCATACCTCCATAGTCTTCTCTAATCTGTCTTATTTGTCTCAAATGACCTTGACACTTTAGAAAAGCATTAGACAATTATTTTGTAGAATGTCTCCCGATTTAAGTTTGTTTGATATTTTATCATCAGTAGAATAAGGTGATGCATTTTTAGCAAAAAAACACAGAAGTGAAGTTGTGTCCTCCTATCAGAAGGTACGTGATTCTCAACTTCAACTCCCAGAGATTCTTATTAAGTAGGTCAGCGTAAGGCTTCAAAAATCCACAGAATTAAGAATTCTGATGATTGGCCAAGTAGAGTCAGTAGAACTGAGACAAGGGCCAGGAATCTGCATGTTTATTTAATAAGTAATGTAGCCGATTCTGAAGACACATTTTGAGAAATACAGTTTTATTCCACTATGGCTCTCA